TTTAGGGCGTGAGGTGTGAGGAGTCTCACCCCAACATTCTGGATATCTTAATTGCCCAGATCTCTCTTCTCTGTCTGTCTCTCTCTATCTCTTCTAGTTTCATCACTGACTCCTCTTCCTACCCCTGCCCTTGAAATGGAAATGTCCCACAATCCCTCAGACTTAGCCTTCTTCTCTTCCTTGGTTGCTTCCATCACTCCCAGGGATTCCTCCTTCCAAATCTAGCTCTAGCCCTGATTTCTCTCCCACATCCCAGACCAGCATTTCCAGAAGCCTAAATGGACATCTTTAGCATCCAATATAATCTAATAAGCCCCTATCAAGTGCCTACTATGTGCCAAGCATTATGTTAGGCAAAACACAGTTTCTGCTTTGCCTGCAAGGTCACATTCTTTTGTCTTGCCAGAACCTTAAACTATACATGGCCAAGACCTAATCCATTATTTCCTTTCCAGTCAGTGAAAAAGCATTTACTAAGTGCCTACTGTGTGTCTGGCATTGTACTCGGCACTGGGGATACAAGAACAATAAAAAATAAAGTCCCTGACCCCAAGGAGCTCAAATTCTACACGCTCATTACTTATTTCTGTCAATAGCACTCCTATTCTTTCAGATATCCAGACCTGAAATACCAGACTTGGTATTACCTTTGACCCCTTCCTCCTGTTCCCGGTACCTTACACATCCAGCTAGCTGACAAGTCCTGTTGATGGTACACTCAAGTTTCTATGTTCCTTCCTTACCATTCCCATAGCTGCTGCCAACAGGCTTCAGTCTTGTTCCCCTCCTAATCCAACCAACACGTGGCCATATTGATCTTCCCATGCACAGAACCAATCCCCTCACTCCACTGCTTGGCACCTTGGACCTCCATGTTCTGGCTCCAGTGTACTTGGCAGCTTTCTCTCCCAATATCCCCCTCTTCCCCAGGCGATTCTTTAGACAAGTGGTGTCAAACTCAAACAGAAAGGGAAGGCCACTTAGATAAGTATCCCTGCAGGTAGTATATTGACTTGGAAAACCACATATTCACATTATCTATGTTCTATTGTATTTTTATTTTGTTAAACATTTGCCGATGACACTTTGGCAAGCTCGCGGCCTCTGCTCCAGACAACTAGACTCTCCCAACTCCCTCAACATATCTCCCATCTTCCTCCCAAGTTCTACCCCTGCTGCTGAAATCCTACCGGTCCTTCAAGTCCCTGCTTGGATGTCTCTTTCTCCTGGTTCCCAGATCATAGGCTCATGCATTTAGAGCTAGATGAGCCCTTAGAGGTCATTGAGTCCAGCCCTCTCATGTTATAGAAAACTGAGGCACAGAGAGGTGAAGTGATTTTCCCCAGGATCCCAAGGCAGTGTCTGAATCAGGATTTGAACCCAGGTCTTCCGAACTCTGTGTCCAGTGCCCTATCCACTACACCGTGCTGCCTCTCAGAAGTGTTGCCTTCCTCCTCAGAATGCTCATGACGCTTGGTTTCTACCTCTCTTGTATACTTAAAATCTACTTTATGTTATTGCTGTTGATAAATGTCACCTATATATGAGCCTATGGCTCACAGATGGAGAACTGGAACCTTAGAGGTCATCAAATCCAACCCCCTCGTTTTACAGAGGGAGAAACTGAGGCTGAGAGGGGTGAAATGAACTGCCCAAGGTCACAAGGCAATAAATGGCAGATTTGAATCCACGTCCTCTGACTCTACCTCTCATACCCTTTCCACTGTACTATCATGATCATGCTTGCATGATCCCTAATTACACTAGAAACTTTTAAGGGAACTTGCCTTCATTTACCTTTGTCTTCCTTAGTTCCTAGCTTTGTACATAATTAGTACTTAATAAGCCTTACCTGAATGAAACAGAATAAGTAGTTACTGCATTTTTAGCAATGATCAGCCGGTGAGGCAGAGTTGATTTAATTCTTGCCTTTATGCTCTTAAACAGGGAGTTTTCTGGACCGTAGTCTCCTTCACTAAAACAAAGCCAGCCAGCCAGGCCTAACCAGTCGGTCAACACACACTTGGGAAGTGTCAGACACTTAGCACACTGGGGTACACAGACAGGCAAAGGCAAGGTCTCCACCCTCCAGGGGCCTCCAGGAAGGGCTTTGGTTATGGCATAATTGGAATGGCATCAGGCTACCTTAGTTTAGTTGTAAACAGTTGCACCAAGCCTCTCAGCAGACAGGTGGCAGGCTACAAGCACACAGTGTGGCACATAACTAGTTTACTCATCCAACATGGACCTTCACCAGAACAGATTTCTTTTCCCTTCTCTACTTCAAATAGGTAGAAAGGGTAAAGAGTCAGCAGTTGATTGTTGAAACTTCCCCATAGGTCTATATGACTGGGAATCAGGAAGGTTGGTTCTCAGTCTGGTACCACCACTAGTGATAGGATAGGTTGGGATTCCAAGTAGTTGCTTGTGATCTTAAGTATCGATGACAGTTGGACAGCAGACATTTTTTTAAAAAAAGGATTTCTATTAGAAATAAAACTTTTTAAAAACAATTGTACAAAACAATGAGAAAAAAGAAAACGGAAATGCTAGCAGATTTTCTGGAAGGGTAGCTAGAGCTGACTGCTACTATCTATTGGCTCAGTTTCCTCATCTGTAAAACGAGACAGAGAAAGAAAATGGCAAACCTCTCTAGTATCTTTGCCGAGAAAACCCCAAATGGGGTAATGAGAAGTCGGACATGACTGAAACAACTCAACAACAAAATCTACTGGTTCACTCTCATTTGTTGCCATTGCTATTAGGGCAACTCAATTGAAAAATGAAGCGCTTGGCTTAGCTTGAGGTAACTCTGGGCCAAATGTCATCGTACAACCCTCCTGAACAATCTAGGCAGTTCTGGGGCCCTTCCTGGGGCTCCTGGGAACCAGGGCTTCTCAGTCTTGATATGTGATTTTGGCATGATGAGGTTATACAAACATGGCCCAAATTACTGACATCCCATCTGGGCTGTTAGATGACATTTACATAATTCATTCTTCAGAATTTTGGTTCAGCCCTGATGCTCGCTTTTTTCTGGGGTGGGGGGGAGGGAAGGCAGAGAGAAGGGAAAAATAGGGAATGATGGTTCCACTGCATTTTCCCCCCCTTCCAGAATGATAATGTACTAGAAGGGAGGCAGGCTGTTTTATGAGAATTTTTCAATTTCTTTGTGCATCAGTCAAAACCCTCAAAACCCTCCCTCGGTTTCTTATCATCCAATTTATCTTTGCTTCTCTTTGGGTTCTCGTAGCCTTTGGCTCCTAAATCTCAGGCTTGGTATATGCTCATCGCATGCTGTAAGCCTCTTAATACAGCTGATTGCAAGTAATCTCAAGAGGCAGCACAGGCTGAAAATAGAAATAGGTCTGAGAATGATTTATATCAATTCCTAAACAACAGTTCTACAGCTCATGTTATCAAGCACATTCTCGAATCGGAAATCACCTTCGTGGAATGGAGGACAACCATGGTTTGTCACCGTATGCCTCTGGACGCCACTGGTCCAAGGCAGAATGTTAGGCCAGATGGATCAGAGCTGAGCAGAAAAGCCCTTTCTTACACAATCTATAATGGAAAAGCAGCGGTGTATGGGCAACCAGTTCCCAGCATTCAAGATGGGCTTTTCAGTGGGCATTATACTCATTTTAGAATTCTCTAGTACATCATCTACATTTATTCCCAACTATTTATAACCAGAGTAATGCAACTGGAAGCCAATCTGATCACGTGGCCAGATGGCAGGAAAGGCCTGGATTTTGAGCTTTCTGTTCTCACTTCACTTGATTTGGGGTTGGTTTCCTTTTAAATTGATTTTACATACTATATGCCCATTAACTAAAAAATGGCTGAACAAACTACGGTATATAGATTGAACGGAACATTGTTATATAATAAGACATGGTGAGTCTAAGGAATTCAGGAAAATCCAGGAAGACTCGTCTGGACTGCAGTGAGCACATAGAGGGTGACAAAGACCAGGACCACAGTAATGTAAACAAAGGGAACCCTAAAAGGAAGGGAACTTCTTTTTACCTTTAATGTAATGTAATGTCTAACGACTGATCTTCGTGTCAGAGAATCGAAAATGAAACCTGCCTCTTTCCACGTCAGGAGAGAGGCCCACCATGGGAGTCAAGTGTTGCAGACCCTCACTGACTGGTTATTTTTGCTGACCAGACTTTGTTAACAAGGTTTCCAGTTCAATGTTAGTCAAGGGGGTGGGAAAAAGCACCATATCTGCAAATGACTGACGTACAAACAAAAGGCATCACAAATACCTCAAAACCACTTTTTAATTGACTTTCATAAGACCTGAGAGCTTTATGACAGAACAGGCAAGTGCCATCTGTTTCTATGATGCTGATGACACATACTGCAATCACCACCAAACATTGAATCTTTGCTTTAGCTCTGAGCAACATACAAGAATCCATCTGCTATTGACATAAAAATGCATCATGCCTTTCTGGACATCTTCTTGCTCCAACCAACCAATTACCTGCAGCTCAATTAATTTATTATTTCCTCTTATTAGATACAAAGTGGCACATTGTCAACATTCTCAGTTTTCAAAAAGACACATCCTTGTTATTTTGGCTAGACACAAAGTGAACACAAAAAGCCGGTTTTGGAAAACCATACAGCTGATAATTGACCATCAAGAAGAGTAAAAGACACAATGCACAATGCCTTGCATACAGTAGCACTTAATAAATGTTTGTTCAATTAATCACTGACATACAAAAGACACAGCTGGGGAACATAGCTCAGGGACAACAGAAGAAGCCATAGTCTAACAACTTGTCCCATAGCTTGCAATTGAAGCAAAAGCAACAACTAACTTCCCCAGCAAAAAGGACCTAACACAATCTTGATTTGGGGCACACTCAAGTCCTGGGGAAAATTTATTTTTAATTCACATAAAATATACAAACTAAACACACACACACACATTTCCCCCCCCCCCCCCCTCCCCCCCCCCCCCCCCCCCCCCCAACCCAAAACCCGACAATGAGGATAAGTAGATTTTACTCCCGGTGGAGGCGTCAGATATATTCTGCCCACCATTTATTTCAGGTCATTCAAGTGTTGGGATACAGAAACTTTTGATCCTGGATCCTTCTCCATATTATGAAATTAGGCATGTAGGATTTCTCTCGAGCATTCTGTAAACCTACAATAACAAGTTGGGGAGAATCCATTAGTGAGGAAAAGGCCCTGGGACCACACCAGATCACAAGGAGCTCAGTCTGCTGCCTCCCTGCCAATTTCCAACTGATATTTGCAAGGATGGAGGCATACTCTCACAAATAAGTATAATAACAGAGGAAAGTCCTCCAGAAGCTTATGGGAGGTAGCTCCAGGCCAATTCATCTGAAGCACTGAATACAGGACCCACCTGCTGAGGCCCCCAACCAGTTTTTTTCCTGTGGTTTTTCAGTTACAAAGAGAGTTGTGATTGTTTCCCCCAGTAAGTATCTAATCTAACTATAGTAGAAGCTACCTAATAACTTAAATCTTGAAAGAAAGATCTGCCTGTGTCAGAAAATGCAGGCCCACCCAATCTTTGGAATCCTGAGCTAGGTCCAGGCCATTCCTCAGAGCAACCTTTCATCGAAGGCCAGCTTGTAAGGCTCTTCTCCCACTCCCGGGCCCAAACCAGACTTAGTAGTATCCATTTCCTGGGGCAGGAAAACAGTGTAAACACATCTGTGGCCTATGATGAACTAAGATTTAGATCAAATATTGACTGCAATGCTTCGAAGGGTGGCCAGAGGCCTGAAAACTTTTTGGAAGAAGTCTGCTAAAGTCCATGCTCACATGGTGCCTCCCAGAGGTATCCAAACCCAGTCTCCAAAGATCCCCATATGCTTGCACATAGGGTTATGGCTGTTGAGGTGGAAAGAAATTCAGAGGTTCAATTCCCTCATGTTACAGATGAGGTAAATGGAGGCCAAAGTGAAGTGACTTGCCCAAGGTCACTTATTACAAAGGAAATAGTAAGTGGTAAAGGCAGATCTTCTGATTCCAGAGCCAGAGCCATTTTTCTACAGTGCCTTGCTACGTAAGTGGCCAGAATCTGGAGCAGCAGTTGAACCCATGTAGGATTTTAAATGTGCGCCGTAGCCCCTGTAGTAGGGAGGAAGAGGGGCCGCAGGTCAGAAGCAACCACAGCAGCTGCCTCTTCACTTTTCCCAGTGATTGTGATGGCTCACAATTGGCTGGGTCAAAGTTTGGCAGCAGACACTGCCTTTGGTCACAGATTCCCTCTGTGCAAAACCCTGCCCCACACACGCCGGCCGCTGCTACCAAGCAAGGCCCTGAAGGGAATGATGTTACAAAAACCAGGAGGTGCTGAAGGAATCCTCCTCCCCAAACCTCCATCCACCATCTTTCTTCACACTGTAGACATGCTGTCTCTGGCAAAAGGATAAAGTGGAGGAGAGGAAATCTCCAAGATTTCCTTAGGGAACAACAATTCAAATCTCCTAAGTTCGTAGTTTGTGCCTTTACCGATGGAGCGAAAAAAGCCAGGTTTTTGTTGTTTTTAAAGCTAAGGTGTTACTAGAATGGACACAGCAAAAGAAAACGGGAGGTCACCTAGCAATGGCAGCTGCTGGGAGGGGTGGACTGCTCTGAAGTCACATTTTAGTGAAAAGCAGAAATTTGAAATTTGGGGCATTTTGATAAGATGTTTGCATGTTAATAAAACAATAACTAATGTCCAGGGGTAGAGTGCTGTATAGTAGGAATTTAGGAGCAGGTCCAACTGTTGCCTAGCACATGACACCCAGAAGTTTTGGCATCGTTTTGGGCACATTTCCTTACTTATAAAACTAGAATTAGACTGCCCCATCCCAGCTCTGAAATTCTGTAATTCTAGATCTGATTTTCCTAAAGCACAGGGCCAACCATGTTGTCAACTGACTAAACTCCAGTGGCCCCGTGACCTCCAACATCAAATACACAATCAAAGTCCCTCATAACCTGATCCCTCCCCCACCCGGCCACACTGACCTCCTGGCTTTTCCGTGAACTAGACACTCCTGTCTTGGCCATCCCCTGAGCCTGAAATGCTCCCCCTCTTCAGCTCCACCTGCTGCCCTCCCTGACTTCCCTTAAGTCTCAACCAAAATCTCACCTTCTCTAGAAAGCCTTCCCCAAGCCCTCTTAATTCGAGTTCCTTCCCTCTCTCAATTATTGCCCATTTATACAACTTGTTTGTACGCAGCTGTTTGCTTGTTGTGTCCCCCATTGGCTTGTGGGCTACTCGATGGGTGGGACCTGTCTCTTTGCCTTTCTTTGTATTCCCAGCACTCAGCACAGTTCCTGGCACATAGCAGACGCTTAGTAGATGTCTGCAGACTGACTGCTGTGGGGATCTAGCCCACCGTGCAATAAGATCACCAGCTGATACCAGGAATGTTATCACCAGGATGTACCAACTGGGAGATGGGACCCAAAGAAGTTCTAAATGGTAGTACAACTCTGTGGAGGTGACCAGGCCCGTGCTTGTGATCTAGGCTGTTCTGGCTTGGGGGGGACCCATCCCCCACCTCTGAGAGCCCAAGGTCACCTTCACAGTGAAGGAAAGAGGCAAGAGAGCAGAGAAACTTGGCAGGGTAGAGTAAACCCACTAAGTTACTCAACCTCAAAGATGTTGGAGAGATCAGAATTTAAAATGGAGCCGACAACACCCAGGACACTTTCAAGGTGTGCCATGATGACTTTATTTGGAAGATGAGTATGACAAGGAGGAAGGGTGATGATGAGTGTGGGGAGCTATGTGTCAGCCTGGAAGAACTCATGCTAAAACCTGTCAGAGTTTATGGTGGATTTTGTTGACCACTTGCTTCCTTGGCTACATGCTCTATTCTCCTTACAACAGAATTTGCTTCAGAAGTAAATATAGTGGTTACTAAGATACATAGACATTTACCGAAATGCTCCACGTATCAGCACATGTGAGGTGATTAACTACGCAGAAGCAAGAATTCTCAACAATGGACCAATGCCCTACAGTCCCCGTCCCGTCCCGCGTCGTCCATCTCCCCCCCCCCCCGCCAGGGGCTGGATTGGCCCTGCAGAAGCAGAGTAGAGATCAGGAGAAACAAGCAAAGGTCCTCATGCCGAGCATTCTGGGTGAGGAGGAAAGCAACCCAAGCAGAGTACTCCAGCCCTCTGCCCTCCCCAGCTGGGCATCTGTTTGCTCACCATTTAAGGGGCGCCAGTAGATTTTTGGATCTGTTCCTTTAAAATCAGGATACTCTGCCGTTGCTCAGGAGGCAGCATAGCAATTTGGTCTGCGGTCAGTTGGAGCACTTGCATGATCAAAGCAGCCTTTGGAAAGAAAGGAAGACAATTAGGGAACTGTAATAATGGCAGCTATGCAAATCCCCATCGCCATCATCTGCCTACGAAGTCCACCGAATTGTGTGTGGGGGGAAGAGGATGTCAAATGGGAAAAGAAAGTCCATTTTGTACAAAGGAAACAGGCAACAAGGAGGTGGTGGGGCAAAGGTAAACAGAGAAGCCTGCATGCAAATAAAACCATGCCCAGACCAAGGCCTAGAGGAGCCCAAAGGCCCCTCAGGTAAATGAGGAGCCTAGAGGCAGGAGCATTCCCTTGGTTGCCAAGATCCAGCATGCCTTTCTCCAAATCCCTCTCTCTTCTTTCCCCAAAGCAGCCCAGTGTGGTGGACAGCCCACTGGACTGGGTCAGGAAGACTCAGAGCCCACCTCAGTCACTTCCCCTCCCTTATCTGTAAAAGGAGGATAATAATAAGCAGGGCAAGCAGGTATCAAAAGAAAGATTACATGTCAACCCCCAGGCTATAGAAATGTTCACTATTTTTCCTGTCATGCATGAGTTTCCCACAAAGATCTAATAATAATAGCTAGCATTTATATGGTGCTTTGTGGTTTGTCAACGACTTTACAAACAAGACTTCATCTGGTCCTTACAACAACCCTGGGAGACAGGTGCTATGATGATCCTCATTTCACAGTTGAGGAAACTAAGGCAATTAAGTCACTTGCCCAGAGAGGTCTGAGAAGAGAATCAAGTCTCCCCAATCCAAGGCCAACACTTGATCCATAGTACCACCAAGCTGCCTCAACAGCAGGAACTCAGCTACTATTTTGATGGGGTGAAGGATGGAAGAGTACAAGGTAGGCTAAGGTCTTTTCAGCTTATTTCCACCTTACACAGATCAGCCTAAGAGCCTACCATATAAATCTTATTTAGTCTCTAGGGCCAGGCCCATGGGCCGGCCCCTGAGTCAAAAACACCACACCACTATTGAATAGACACAGAAAATCCTGCATGCAAGGGCCCTGTTACCTAGCGGCCTCGTTCTGCGCACATGCAGATAGACAGGAAGCCTCTGGATCAATGGAGAGAGTTAAAACTTACCTTTTCATGATCCTGTGGAGTAACTTGGTTCTGTCCAGGACTGAATCCCCCAGGCTGACCTCCACCTTGCAGACCAGATCCCTGCATGCCTGGGACCTGTGTGTCCAAAGAGAGGAGAGAAGGACCCGATGAGTTTCTGAGACACAAATTACAGACAACCAAAATCAGCAGTGTCAAGAAGGAAGTGTGGCATCCATTAATGTGTACACAGTAACAGCCACGTTGTGCGATGACTAACATTGATAGACTTAACCCTTCCCGGCAATATAAGGATCTAAGACATCTTCAAAGGCCTCGTGTTGGAAAATGCTATCCACATCCCAAGAAAGAACTATGGAGTTTGAATGCAGATTGAAGCATACTATTTGCTATTTTTTTTTTCTTCTGTTGAGTTTTGTTTCCTCTTTCTGGTGGTTCCTCCTATTGGTTCTAATTCTTACTTACAACATCACTAATGTGAAAATATGTTTAATAGGAAGGTATATGTACAGCCTGTATCAGATTGTGTGCTGTCTTGGGAAGGGTAGTGGGGAGGAAGGGGGAGAAAAATTTTAAACTCAAAAGCATATGGAAGTGATTGTTGATAAATCTACATAATAAAAAAAAAAAAAGAAAAAGAACCCCAGACCCAGATGAATTTACAAAAGAATCTTATCAAACATTTAAACAACAATTAATTCCAACATTATAGAAGCCGAAAAAACAGATAAAGGAGTTCCACCAAATTCCTTCTGTGACACAAATATGGTTTTGATACTAAAACCAGGGAAATAAACCTCTAGACCAATTTCCCTAATGAATATTGATGCAAAAATTTTAAATGAAATACTAGCAAAAAGATTACAACAATATATCACAAAGATCATAGGCGATGATCAGGTTCAATTTATACCAGAAATGTGGGGCTGGTTCACTGTTAGGAAACTTATCAGCGTAACTGACCATCTCAATAACAAAAACAACAAAAAGCATACGACTATCTCACTAGATTCAGAAAAAGATTTTGACAAAGTACCATACCCACTCCTAGTGAAAGCACTAGAAAGCATAATAAATGGAGCTTTTCTTAAAATAGAAATTGGTATGTATCTAAAACCAAGAAGGAGCATTGTCTGTAATGGGGATGAACTACAACACTTTTGAATAAGATGGGAGGCATGGGGGGAGGGAAGCAAGGATGTCTGCAGTCACCATTACTATTCAATATTGTACTGGAACTGCTAGCTACAGCTGTAAGACCAGAAAAAAGAATTGAAGGAATAAGCATGGGCAAGGAACGAAGAAACAAAATGTGCCTTCCGATGGTAGACCCAGGGTGTGTTCTGTAGGAAAGCAGTAACACCTAGCATGGAAGCAGGAACTCCTGATTGCCATATACACACATAGACACACAGACAGGAAAAACAGTAACATCAGTCATGGAAATCAGAACTGATGACAGACAGAGAAAACTGTGTGTGTTCTGTAGGATAGTAACACCTTCTATGGGAGCTAAAAAATCCCCCAGATTAACAGAGGAGGAAACAGAATCCTTAAATAACCCTATTTTGACAAAAAGAAATTGACCAACCCACAAACGAGCTCCCTAGGGAAAAGAAACTTAGGACCAAACATTTAAAGAACAACTAATTTCAATATTATAGAAACGGCTTGGAAAAATAGATAAAAGGAGTCCCACCAAATTCTATGACACAAATATCGTTTCGATACCTAAACCAGGCAGAACAAAACCAGTGAAAGAAAACTCTAGACCAATTTCCCTAATGAATATTGAAGCAAAAATGCTAACTAAATATGAGCAAAGACATTACAGCAATATATCACAAAGATCATATATACTATGACTAGGTTCAATTTATTACCAGGAATGCAGGGCTGGCTCAATATTAGGAAAACCATAAGCACAGCTGGCCACGTCAAGAACAGAAACAACACAAAGGCTTTTGAAAAATACAACATCCATTCCAATTAAAACCATTAGAAAGCACAGGAAATCAACAGCGGCTTTCCTTAAGCAGCATGTATCTAAAAGTCCAAGAGCAAGCATTCTCTGTAATGGGCATGAACACTTTTGAATAAGATCTAGGGGTGAAGCAAGGATGTCTGTGATGACCATTACTCTCCAATATGGTACCAGAAATGCTAGCTATTGTAATGAAACCAGAAAAAGCAACGGAAGGACTGAGCATAGGCGACAAGGAAGCAAAAGTCACCCCTTCTGCAGAGGATGGCATATGTACTCAGGGTGTGTTCTGAAGGAAAAGTAGTAACACGTGCCATTGAAGGTAAGCACAGATGCCAGACAGAAAGACAGACAGTGCCTACTCTTTAGGAAATGTAGCAATACCTGTGATGGAAGCTAGAACTGATAGCAGACAGATAGTGTGTGTTCTGGAGGCTAAGTTGTAATACCTGCCAAGGAAACTTTAAATAAAGAGAAAAAAACCTCCAGGGCTCTGGCTCCCCCTAGGGCTGGGATTCCTGCCGAGTCAGAAATAGGCAGCTTTTTACCAAAGGCCCTATACACCCCCCTTTCCCCACCCTTCCTAGAAATGACAGCCTCATATGCATTTTCGTTGGCAAAGCCAAACAGTACCAGTCCCCTGTAAAAAGACCAGAACGAAGTCCAATAACAACCCATTGTTCTGAAGGTCAAAGTTCTGGTCACCTCTACCTTCAGGAACCCCAGGAACCTGAAGTAAGCCACTGCTTTTAAGCTCCTGCTCCTGGCTCCCTAGGGAGAGGAGGGCTGTGAAAGGGAGCTCCCACGCAGGGCAGCCTGTTCGGATGGACAGTCATCATTGCTTGCTGCTAGACAACAGATGACTACTACTGGGTCACTCCTTTGCATTGAGCCCCCCAACCCAAGGTGGAATCCCACCGGGCACTTACCCCAACCTCGCCTTGCCAGGGTGTCTTAGATGAGCACAGAGAGCTCCTCTTTGCAGCTGACGCACCATGGGCACTTTAGGGAGGCCCAAGAGTTTGCCGGCAGAGGTCAGTCTTCATTTGACCAGCCCTTCGTCTAGACTTGGGCTCTCTAGTCAAAGTGGATTTCACTGAGCCCCTCCCAAATTTAAATTCTGATCTAAGCTTTTGTTAATTTGATGATTTAAACTTCTGCTAATTTTAAATTTTATTTTCATCTACTTTTATGATTATTAACTTTAGCTCATTCATTGGTGAAGAGAAACCAAGAAATCACTTTTAATTATCCACAGCATAAAAGCAAAAGAAGGGCAGAAATAGATTTCTGAATACTGTGCTACTCTTGCTGCTAGCTTAAACTTCTTTCCTCAGGAGACTCATTAACAGAGACGCTAAAAAATCCATAGAGCTTGGGTGGAGAATTTTTTTTTCTACTGAGGGTTACTTACCCATAGTTGGGGGTGGGGGGGAAATCAAGGGCAGAGGGCTACAGAGGTTGAAGGCAAACTCTAATTTACAGGAAAAGAAATGTTCAGCTCATCTCATTATCATGCTAAAAAATAGGGACTCCCAAACCGAACACAATATATCATAAAAGCATTAATTCTGCTGCAGGTTCTGGCCCATCGACAGAGGGGAAAGGAAAGGGCAGAAGCAGGCAACGATGAGGAGAGGGGATGGAACTGGGAGGGAGGGAAGAAAAGACAGCTCTCCCCACCCCCAAGGGAGAGAAAGGCAGATACCTTCCTCAGAAAGGGAGAAAGAGGGAGAGGAGAGAGCAGAAGGGGAAAGGCAGAATAAACAAAGATGAGGGGAAAGTGGGCAGGCTGTCACCTTCCCTGTAAGAGTCTTCTTTTCTTTTTTTTTCTTTATTGGTGAGACAATCTAGGTTAAGTGACCTGCCCAGGATCCCACAGCTAGTTTCAAGTGGCTGAGGCCAGATTTGAACTGAGGTCCTCCTGATTTGAAGTCTGGAGCTTTATCCATTGTGCCAACTAGCTGCCCCGCCCTATTACAGTCTTAAGAGAATTGCCTAGGGCCCAGAGAGGTTGACGGCCTTGCCTGCGGTGACAGAGTTGAGAACTCAGGTCTCTTCCTCTGTACATGAGGACAGAAACAAAGAGGGCAATTCCTGAGAAATTGGGAATAGTTAAACACTGCTTGGTAAATGTGCAATGAAACACTATAAAGTGATCAAGATGGACCAAAAAGACCTTTCTAGAATAATGCAAAGTGAAAAAAGAACCAGAAAAATGGGGTACATGCTATGATGATCAAGGGAGGCAAAGTAAAGGCGAATCAATGGCCAAGAACTCCTACTGGAGGCTTGGAGGCAGGAGCTCACTGAGTAGGAAGTAGTCCCAAGCAAGTTCAGTTTCTATTTAAGGAAGGAAGCCAAGATCAGGAGGTTCTGATATGGGTACATTAAGGAACCACTCCTGTGACCCAACGCCCTGCACATTCATTCGGGCTATGGACCGCCACAAGTTATACACAGGAACCTGTCAGCTGCTTGTTCACTGGTCACATTTCTCCCACTACCTTCCTCCTCCTCGAATCCTAAAATTCCAGTCTTGGCTCTGAATACAATAGCCAGAGTGGCCCAGCAGGAGACCCTTAGTCTCCAGGATACAGCTGTGGTGGCCAAAAAGCACCAGCGCAAAACACACCTGAATTAGAATCTCCCACACAGTGCCTCCCCTTCCTAAGAACCTGAGACAGCAACGAGTGGTCAATTAGCCCAGAATTACTAGGAGAGGAAGAGGGGATACGCATACCTGCCTGGGACCCTGCGGGCCCCCTGATCCCATGTTGATTGGCCCAGGTCCCTGGAGGCCCCCAGGCATTGGACCTCTGGGGCCAGGACCTCGTGCTTCCATTCCTCTTGCATCCATGCCCCTAGCCTCCATGGCCCTTGATTCTAAGCTTCGGGCCTCCATCCCCCTGGCCTCCATGGCTCTGGCCTCCATGGCTCTGGCATCCATCCCTCGGGGATCTCTTCCACCTGTGGGAAGAGTTAAGCAGAGCCACAGCCAGCAATTCGAAGACAGACAGCTGCTTGAGACTTACTGCTTGGACAAATGAACATCCAGGGAATGAATGAAATCCCAAAATAACTCAGCTTCAAGATGTCCCATCTGTTGTATATGTCACACACTCCTAGCCGATTAGTCTCTATTCTTCCGGCTTCATTTCTTTTTAATAATTGTCTGATTGTTGCCTCCCCCCGCCTGCCCCAAACATCATTGTCACTTACCAATACCCCTTTCCTGACACAATGGCCGTGCCCGACGACCAATGCTTGCCCGGTTACATTCTTTGCTAAGCATCTATCTCTCCTCTGAGAGGAGGAAGGTGTTTTACTGAAAGTCAAGATGGCTGCATACTCTTTTCTTTCCTACCATGTGAGGCTTTCTTCCCCCTTCTCTATTTTCTTTTAAAAACAAAACCCCTGACCCCTGGCTCACAAGTGACAAAAATTACCATGGCCAACTCCATGTAATGATCTCCCCTTACCTCTGCCATCCATGGGTGGACCCCTCTGATCCAGCATGGATCCTCTGGGCTCTCCCATTAATGGTCGAGGCTCTCCCAATGGCCCTCCCCTCATTTCGTGGGGAGGGCCACGACTGTCATGGCCAGGGACATGATGCATGGGAGGACCCTGATGGGGTGGCCCCAGGTAACCTCTGCAGATGGAAAGAGGGAAGAGCGGAAAAAAAGGAGTCAGCCAGGAAAGAGTCAAGAGGCAAAGATTAGACACAAACCTGACACCAAAGCTTAACTCTATATGCTGGCAGGAGAAAGATCATTGTTATTGGACAACTAAATTACCCCTCAGCAGCTCTACACAGCCAACTTGTGCACTGCCAGAATTATGGCAGGAAACCAGCCACATACGGCCATCCGAGTAATGTTGTCCTCCTCGGCAGACACGGTACGAGAGGAGGCATGTTCTTCAAACGGCAGCACATTTCTCTGATGGGCAGCTGCATCATACCATAACATACTGTGGCTTTGTGTTACATATATACACGTATACGTTGTAGATACTGCGTATCTCTCCGTCGAGATGCTTGACTTTCCAATGTTGGGCGTTAATGTAAGATTGCTGAGGAAACAATAGCCACAGTCAGGCTAGGCTGATGTACCACCTGCAATCTGCAGTTCTGTTCCATGGTGCACTCAGTCCTAGACAGCACCCAAGAATAGTTCACTTTTTTTTTGGCAGGGAGCACGACTGACACGGAAAGTCTTTGACCCCAATAGGGGGGGCGTGAATTAGTTATAGCTCATCCTTCTTGGTTTGTGCTTGCTTACCTGGGTTCTACTTCTCCAGTGACTGAGAGCAAGGTCCCTCCACGTGGGTCATTTGGAGCATCCCCTAAAAGACCTCGGGGAGGTGGGCCACCAGCAGGCATAGGTCCACGTTGCATAGGGGCTCTGGGGTCTGGCATTGGCACTGCCAGGGAAACAAATGGGGAATTAGCGAAGTGAAAAACCAAGGAAGGACCCTCAGAGTAATAACTCTATGCACCACAGTCAACATAACTCTGACACCCTAGAGGTCTGGAAAACTCCTCATCCCAAAAGAACACTCCTGAAATTCAAGAACAGAAAGCAGGGAGTGAGCAGGGTCTGTGCCGCAGCAACAGTGTACAGGGAATTGCCAACTAGGCCCTCTGCCCTTGTTTGTAGAAAGGGATCCTTCTTTGTTTTGCTTAGAATTCCTATCTTAGCCCAATAACCAGTCACAAAAGGCAGCTCCTGCCTTGGCACACATGAACACTGCTGTGCCTACAAGGACCTCTTAGCTAGGGAAAGACTGCTTGCCATCCTATAGACTGCTGTTATTCCATCCAAGCCTCCTGAACACCAAGCCTCCAATAAAGGGCAATCTCAGGCTTGTGCCCCCCCCCCCAAAGAAAAGCAAAGCCAAAATATCACTTTTTGGGGGTCTCAACATGAAGCTCACTGCCAGACAGCTCTCCTCCTCTCATGCCCCACCCTAAACACCACAAGCACAGGAAACCTGCAGTTACCGTGGGTACCTTGAACTCGCTCAATTGGTGCAGGCCCGGCGGGTGCCACGGGCGAGTGCTGTAGGGTCCCTGGGTGAGCAGCAAGTTAAAGAAAAGGAAAAAGAGCAGAGACGTGAATGGCTTGCACACCCCCCCCCACCCCGCACACCCGTACACACATACCCATGTCTGGAGATTTGTACACATGCTCACCAAAGCTCAAAACCATTCCTAGGTCGGTAGTTTGCCCCAAGGTTGCCAAGTCTCCTTGGCCTATGTTAGTTTCTTTGCATGTGTGCCTGAACCACAGTTTGACTTTGGGAAGGTGTATTCCCAGAAGTTGTGTGTGACCAGAATATCAAAATGAAACGAATCGAGCCTGCTGCCCAAATCTGACTAAGGAAGCAATTCTAGCCTCCTTCAATCGTTACTTCTGCTACAATCTACTTTCTTCCTAAAAACATTCCTGTGTGTTTGAGCTAGCAAACAGATAGTTGTTATCCAATAATATGGCTGCATGTTCACAAGCAAAACATGGCAGCTAGAGAAGAGCGTGTCTGGAAGGCAGGACTGATTGAGGGAAGGCCCCAAAGCACAAAGGGTAGCACAAGCAAAGCTACATCTGAAACACCAAAGAGACCGACACCAAAGCAAGTATCAGATGGAGCCACAGTGACTGAGTCTCAGAAGAAGAAAGAAGCCCTTTGGAGATGATGAGCAAAGCCCAAGGAGGAGGGGCTTCTGCATCCATGCACACAAACACCAACAGTACAACTGCAAAAGCACTGAAGGCAGGGAGATGCCAAGCTCTCAGGATGTCTCCCTGTCTCCTACCACCATTGCATGCATGGATGCACAAGCAGCAAGAATCCTAGGACAGACGACACTGGGCAAGGCAAGGGGGGAGCCTGACTCCTGCGCCCTCTATAGGCGTGTAAGAACTGCTACCAAGGAGCTCCAAGAGCATCAGGTTCAGAACCCTATTTCTCCACTCTCCCTATAGAGCAATTTTCAAACACAAAGGTGGCGTAACCAATGGGTGGAAGGCGGGAAAGAAGCCCCTCACCTTTCTCTTCTGGGGCTAGCTAGGTGGCACACCAAGTCCCTAGCCACCTACACTCAAAGCACATGGACCCTGAGGGAAAAGGCAGGACGAAGGTATAGGACGTTGTTTGATTGCTGTCAGTCATCTGTGGAGTGAATCATTGGTTCTGTCATTTCTGGAACCTTCCCCAGTGCACCAGCTCGAAATGAGAAGGAGGGTAGAGTAGTCTGCCCCAAGGCCTTGCCTTGTCTGCAGGTCTTCCTTGCTCGTCACTTTTGCTCTGCACCCTCACGGGGAGGGGCTTGGTCCCTCAGACTCAGAAAATGCTAAAGACTTCTGAGGGCTATTTGGGGGAAAATAGAGGTCGAAGCTACCGAATCATTGTTCTTCCTGGCTCTCGCTGCAAATGAACTACATTTTCTTTGCTTTTAGGATCTGGCCACGTGGAGACAGAAGGCAGAAAGTCTGGGGTTGCTGTTGCTATTGTGACCAAGAGTCCGTGCACAATGACAAGGACAACGCTGCTGCCGCTGCCCCCATCATGGTACAACAGCCCAAGACGTGTAGGCTTCACTGGCCTGTGCTCTCCCCAGAGCCCTGACCAGGCTTTTAAACCACCGTCATTTTACGCACCCTGGCTCCATACTGTGAGCCCACTCTTCCCTCTGCCCACTCAACAGCCAGCACTAGTAACACAGAGAGACGGAAAGAGTACGTGCCAGCATGACTACAAACCCATCAGAAAAAAGTGTAATACGGTGTCGCTTAGCTTCATCACTGACACTTGTGCGATTGGGCTTTACCTTACTAGATGAAGAGTCTGGAGGAAGTAAGTAACCCGTGTTAAGACAGACAATACAATCTACCTACCTTGCCCCCGGTCTAAGGATACTGGCCCACCACCTGGCATTCCAACCTTGGACTGCATTCCACCTGGAAGACAAAGGCCAAGGGAACCGTAACTTAGGACAACAAAGAAATCCACAAATCGCTTCCTCCTTCCACAGAATCATAATCCCACAAAAGGAAGTTCACAACCCCCATTCCGGCCCCCTTCCCCTCAAAAAAGCCACTGCACTTAGTCCCTGCACAAAGAATTGAGTGCCTTCTGAGACTGGAAACACCTCAACTGAGATCTGCCACCTTTTCACAGGGGGCTTCTGCCCCATGCCATGTGCCTGCTGCTCTGCGGCTAGACAAATGGAAGAAGTGGGCCTTGGGCTTTATGCATTGCTGCTGGGAAGGTGAACTGTGGCCAAGGTCTTCTCAAGTCCTGGCCATGTCACGAAAGGCAAATGACAGGGCAGTGGCCTTCACTTCTCTCTGCCTTTAACATCTCAATGCCCCACAGCACTCCATCAAACCACAGGCAAAAGAGATCAGAGACCAGGACTAAGTATGTGCTCAAGGCCTCGCTCCTTTCCCTACTACGTTCAAAGCATTCACTTGGACTATTTCACCCCATCTTTTTCAGAAAGAGAATCAAGCAATGTCTATTGTATCTAGTTATCCCAAACGGGGCCGCGGAGAGTTGGACGTGACCAAAAGTAACTAAACAACAACATTCGCAACAGGTCACATCTCCATAGCACCCTCAGACGTGCCAAGCACTTTTCACGGATGATCTCATTGAGCCTTAGCTCTCCTATGCAATGAATAAATTGCCACAGGACTGCGTTTAAAGATCTTGCAAGTGTGAGAATGTGAAGCATAGCTCACCTCCAGGAGCCAACGGGCCAGGGCCAGGTCCTGCAGTGGACATTGCCCCTTGTGCGGGAACGCCACCTGGCAGAGGTGGCTGCATCAGAGGAGGGGCTCCATTCACATGCATCCCACCCTGAACAAGAGAAGAAATCAGAGCCTGTCCCATGTCCCTGTGGGGATTTAATAGATACACTAGTTGATGACGGCCACCCTAAATTCCCTTCAAACTACTCACTCTAATCATCCCCCCACCCCATCCCCGTCCAGATGGTATGCCTTCCCACAGGGCACAGAAACAGAAAAGCCATGGCTACAGCCCTCTGGGCTTCTCAGGGAAAGGGGGGGGGGGGTGTAGGGGCTCTGTACAATAGAATAGGATGTCCCAAACTCAGTAGGGCTGGGATTGGACACCTCCTCCTGATCAATCACAGGGCGCTGTGGTATCCTCACATTGTTCTACTTGATACCCATCAGAGAGCTAGGCAACCAACGGGAAATAAAAGGCAGGGCTCCTGGGGCTCTCTATTCAGAGAAGCCCCAAAGCAGTGACGCCTTTACGAAGGCAAAGCTTCTCACTCCTGTCTACTGAGAGAATTTGAGGTGGATGTGGTGTAGTTCAGGTTTGAAAGACCACTTCTCATTGGTCTGTTTTTTTTTTTTTTTTTTTGCTAGGCAACGGGGTTAAGTGACATGCCCAGGGTCACACAGCTAGTTAAGTGTTAAGTGTCTGAGGCCGGATTTGAACTCAGGTCCTCCTGACTCCACAGCTGGTACTCTATCCACTGTGCCACCTAGCTGCCCCAAAAGACCACTTCTCACGCTCTTGAGTTGCATATCCAAGTTCTTCACATAGAGGGAAAGGGAATGAGCATTTGTGAAATGCCTACTAGGTGCCAGGGACTATGCTAAGTGCTTCAAAAATCTGATCTCGGGGCAGCTAGGTGGATAGAGAACTGGTCCTGAAGTCACGAGGACCTGAGTTCAAATCCGGCCTCAGACACTTAACACTTGACACTCACTAGGTGTGTGTCCCTGGGCAAGTCACTTAACCCCAATTGCCTTAAAAAAAATATATGATCTCATTTGAAGGCCCTCACTACTGCTGTACACGAGGCCAGGGAAAATAGGTTAAGAGCAGCAAGTGAGGAGAGTGGGCCTGCCCTTTTTCAAGGCACCCAATTTCATTTCTTCTACTCAATCACCTCAAACCTGAAGGGTTCTATACTGCTCCCCTCCTGCCAAGTGTAAGGCCATCACAGAAGACGTACACACCACAACCTGAAAAGAGTTTTCACTTTTTTATTTAATTTCCTTCTCTCTTACACCCCAGCCTTCCAAATGCACCCTCAGCAAGAGGCCTCCTGACAAGTGTGAGGCCATCCCAGAAGATTGGAGCCAATCAAAAGCAGACAGAAGTGCTCATGTGTGAATCCCTACCAAGGGCTGTGGTTGAGAGGCTGAAGTATTCGGCTGGTTCATTGGCGCACTAGGCCCTTGGCCAGGCTGCGGGTTACCTTGAATCAAAGACGGGATACTTGCTTGACGATGCAAAATTTTCTACAGGAAAGAGATAAACACATGTGCTAGAACTGCCCGTGTGTGTAACAAGATCATCTGCCAAGCCCTGCCTCCCACCACAAAGAAGGCCGCCTCCATAGGCAACCAGAAGGACTTACCAGTGCAATCTCTGGATCCACGATTCTCATCACTACTTGGGCCTGTAGCAAAGCATAGGCTAGCTGGGGGTTTTGGAGCAGCATGTTCCGTGCTTCTTGGGGACTATTCTGGACACAAAGCTGGGCAAAAAGACACAGCTGATCAGGTCCCCTGGTTCCTCTGAGTGAAGTAATGCAGTAAGAGCCCTGGCCCACACATCTGAGGGGCCCATGAAACCTTGGGAAGCCTTCCACGCTGCCATCAGCAAGCACCCCACTCAACTTGGGGCCTTCAAGGGCTTGTTTCATTACCCCCCTTTCTAACAGCTGGATCAGATTTTTCTATAGGATCCCCACAGCTCAAGTACTAGTTCCTCTTGGTCACTGGTGCAAGAGAATGCCAATGATGAACACCAGTGATACTAAACCCTGAAGGAACCAAGCAAAGAGCACAGACGCTCTTGTCTGTGGCCACACGTCTACCAGGGGAAGCAGCTTCTATTAACATTTGGGATTGTGCTTTCAATGTGACAGCTTCTGTTTTAAATTCCCTACCTTCATTTGCTTCATCAGTTCAAACATTTGTTCTGGTGGCAGACTGGCAACTGCTCTGCTAATGGATTCCGGAGCATCTTCAGGGCTGACGGGGTCTCCATAGGGAGATTCAATGATGGGGGCACCGGTGCCAAGGCCTAATCAGGACGGATACAACAAAATTCAAAACAAAACCCCAAATCAAATCATTTCAAAATGCAGAGCTGCTTGTTAACATTTGCATCTTTAAATCGTTTCAGACGTAAAATTGTTTCATAAATCCTGCATAGGCCACATCTGGTCACCACGTTCAGATACCATATGAAGGCAATAGCTTTCCCAGCCTGCAGCATGTAGGGAGTATGCACTCCCTCCTCTTTATCTGATACAGTGGAAACTATGGGAAGCAAATGTTATCACCAAAGCTTCTGAATTTTGATGACAAGAGATTTTTAAAGCTGTTGAAATTCTATATTATGTTGATAGGATTCCAGCAGCAACTGCCATGGCATAACATCAATGAACACATCCATCCAACAGTGAAGCGAAATTAGCAGAAATTCCAGAAGCTTATGAACCAGAGCATTGGAAATGGTACTTCAAGTGCCCTATTTATTACCAGGTGGATCCCCCATTAGCTGTACAATGACCCTCCTGCAAAGAATTATGAAAGGAAAAGGCTGATCTGAGGAAAACGCTCCAGGAAACAGAAAGACTTAATGGAACTCACAGGGGATGGGCTCGAAACATGACCAAGAAGCCATTCAATCCACTCAGTTGGAAGTGTACTCTCTTTAGTGGGGGCTTAAATGAAGACATGCACCCTGTATTAAATGAAAAGCCATTTCCATTCCAGGTTTGTGGTTCTCAATGTAAGTAGAGAGAAAAGGTTTTGCTGTGAAGAGATGGTTTTCTTTTTTCTTAATTTTTTTTTCTTTCTTTTCCCCCCAATTGTCAAGTATTCCCCCCCCCCCCCCCCCCCCAGGAAAAAAAAAAAAAAAAAAAAAAAGAAAAGCAAAACCGCTGTAACAAATAAGCACAGTCAAGCAAAACAAATTCCCACACTGGCCGTGTCCTAGAACATGCACCCTAAGTGAGGAGGTGGGTAGCATTCTTTAGCGTTGGTCTTCTGGAACCGTGCTGTCAAACTCAAATAGCAAGGTCACATTAGGGGCTCAGAAAATCACAAATTAACATCACCTATGTTGTACTGTACTTTTATTTTGTTAAATGTCTGACAATTATATTTGAATTTAATTCCTCCCATGAGTCTGACTCCTCTGCTCTAGCAGATTCATTGGCTATTGCATTGAGCAGAGTTCTTAAGTCTTAAAAATCCTTCATTTTTTTTTTCACAATGTATAAACTGTTCTCCTGGTTCACAGAGATCTTTCTAGGTGGCTCTGAAACTTTCTTCAGACACAACAGTATTCAAATACGTTCATATACAATTTGCTTAGCTATTCCCAATTGATGAGCTCTCCCCACCCAAGCCTCCACCCCTCATTTCTAGTTGTCACCGCTATAAATGTTATAAGTTATTACAATATACTGTATTTATAATATCTGATATATTTATTTATTACAAAAATTATTAAACATAAATAAATACTATAAATAAATAAACGAATAAAGAGCGAGCTGCTATAAATATTTGTGCGAGCATGGGCCCTTTTTCTCTATGATCTCTTTGAGTCATATGCATAGTAGTGGCATCACTGGATCAAACAAATGCAGTTAAGTAACTTCTGGGCCATACTTCCAAACTGCCTTCCAGAATGGTTGGACTAGTTCACCAGTGTGTGACCAGTGTGTCAATATGACTATTTCTTGCTGTAACCCCTTTGATGTCTGTCATTTTCCCTTTTGTCAATTTTGCCAACCTGATGGAATGTAAAATGGAATTTCAGAGTTCTTTAATTTGAATTTCTCTAACTTATTAGTGACTTGGAACATCTTTTTTTTCCATATGGTTACAGATAACTTGGATTTCTTCCCTGGAGAACTGCCTGTTCACAGCTTTTGACCATTTGTCAACTGGAGAATAGCTGATTCTCATAAATCTGAGTAAGTTCCTCATATATACTGGAAGTCAAGCCTTTACCACAGAAACTTGTTGCAAACATTTTCTTGCTTGTTTCCTTTTTAATCCTGGCTACACTGGATTCGTTTTTACAAACCCTTTTTTATTTTGCATAATCAAAATTGTCTACTTTTCTCTTCTGTGACCCTTTCTATTCCTTGTTTAGTCACAAAGTCTTTCCCTATTCAGATTTGAAAGGTAATTTCTTCCTTGTTCTGCTAATGTATTTATGATGTCATCTTTGATATCTAGGTTCACATATCCATTTGTAGTTTATCTTAGTATGTGGTGTGAGGTGTTAGGCTATTTCTAATTTCTGCCAGTCAGCAGTCCAGCTTTCCTAGCAATTTTTGTCAAGTAGTGAGCCATTACTCCAGCAGCTGGGAGCTTTGGGTTTATGGAACACTAGGCTACTGTGTTCATTTTCTTCGCTATGTTGTATAGCTAACCTGTTCCACTGACCTCTCGTTATTTAAACAGTACTAACTAGTTTCGATGATTACTGCTTTGAGGTCTAGTTTGAGATCTGATACTGGTAGGCCTTCTTCTTTCCTCCTTTTATTCATTACTTTCTTTGGCCTTTTGTTCCTCCAGATAATTTTTTTCCTTTTTTCGTAGCTCTATAAAGTAATCGTTTGGCAGATTGAGTGGTATAGCACTGAGCAAGTTAATTTAAATGGTACTGTCATTTTTATCTGATTGGCTTGGCCTGCCCATGAGAAGTGACCATTTCTCCTATTGTTTATATCTTTGTCCATCATGTGCTATTTTATAGTTGGATTCATATAGTTCTTGCGTGTATTTTGATAGGGAGACTGCCAAATATTTTTATGTATTCTGAAGTTATTTTAAGTGAACTTTATCTCTTCTTGCTGGGCTTTGGTGGTAATATCCAGGAACGTTAATGACTTAGGTGGATTTGATATCCTGCAATTTTGTTCAATTCATTGTTTCAATGAATTTTTAGTCGACTCTCTAGGGTTAAGTATATCATCACATCAACTACAAAACGTCATGATTGTTTTCTTTTTGCCTATGCTTATTTCCTCAATTTATTTTTCTTATCTCATAGCCATGGTTAGTATTTCTAGTACTATAATTTTTTCCCCTTGAGATTATGTATGTAATGATTAAAAATTGGATGAGACTGAAGTTTGTGAACTCTTAAGTGACAGTAACTTTTGTCAGTGGATTCTATAATAAATAGAAGTTGCTGATGGGCAGTATAAAAACAAATACCTTTGCATTTTTCTCCCTCCCATCTGTTGATCTTAGTAAGGTTAGCTAGCCAATTTTACAAATCAATAAAAAGCTATAACCTCACATTAGAATAAATTCTAATAATGTAGCTTTCCCAGCTGTTTTTAACAGGACCGAGGTCACAGAGTTCTAGAGGATGGTCATTCCTGAGGGGACAGCATGGAAATACCACAACATTCTAAATGTCCAATTATCTCTACTGTGGGTAGTAAGCATTAATGACTCCCTTAGTTCAAGTACAAGCCTTGCCTCCCAGTAACTTGTGTATCTCAAGGCAAACTAATCTTAAAATGTAACATTTTAATCATCTCTGTTGACAAAACTAGCGTTTTATCTTGGGGAATACTGAGGAACTGAATATTTCACCATGTTCCAAAAATGGGAATCCTTTGTATCCTCAAGCCCACTGCCTCTTGATACCCACAACGTGGCTTCTGTGACTGGACTCACTCTTTAGTTCCTCCTTGTTCTTCTCACTAGCAGCGTTGTCTACTCGAAGAGCTCTCCCACTGAACTCACGGCCATTCAGGTTCCTCATAGCACTGAGGGCTGTTTCTTGGTCCTGATATTCACAGAAGCCATAACCCTTTGGTTTCCCTGTCTCTCGATCATATACCAACCTGAATGGGAGAATCGAAGAATGGAGCACAACTTTTTACATATGCAACACAGACGTCTTGTCCCCACTTCTTCATTAGGATGGAACTTTCTAATTCTAACCCCTTAAGTCTTCCCCACTAAAATGTTATCAAGGGATCTGGAAGGATTAACTTTTTGCTTAGAATCCAGTTTAGAGAATTACTAGTAAAAATCTATTTCTAGGAGGTTCCTAAGAAGAAACTTAGAGAAACATTAGGAAAGAAGGGCCTCTTACCTAAAACTGACAACTGGTCCAACTTCAGAGAAGATATCCTTTAACTGTTCTTCTGTAGCTTCATATGGAATGTTGCCCACTAAGGAGAAAAAGGTAGGAAATATGAAATTCCAGGTTTGCAGTAGACAATTTCAGGGAAAAATTAAGTGACTAGAATCTAGAGGCCTCCATATGCCATGGCATTTCTAGAAATCAGGGAGAAAACACCTGTTCCTAGGTCCATGATGTTCTACGTCTTTCTACCAATTCAGTGCAAACGATCAAATAAAGTTAGACGGTAGAGGGAGCAACTGATTTCTCGCCTGGACTACTTTTATTGCCTGGACTACTTTTATAACAAGTAGGCCTTGATTTCAAACATCAGAACCACTCGGCGGATTCCCCTCCATTTATTCCTCTTTCGAGTCGCCCCCCCCCCCCAAGAGCCTAAGCTTCACCTGATGCTCGAGAATTTTTCCCCCCTCAGGAAAATCTAAACGTGCCCATGAAAATTCAGGAACTGGATTCTCAGGCGGTCTTACAAAGCCAGAAGGGCCCTTCTCGGGGTGCCTGTATCCCCCCTCGGTCCCCACCCCACAGTCGCCCTAGCTATGAGTTTCCCAAGGAGGGGAAGAGCGATGGGTGGGGGGGGAACGACAGGGGACCCTTCCCCTTCCCCCCCACCCCCACCTTGGTGGGGATGAGGCTGGAGGCTATTATATTCAAAGGCTGCCTGGCCACCACCACAAACGGAAGAGCAAAACTCGCCGGCGCCGGCCCAGGCCCAGGCCCCGGCCCAGGCCCAGGCCCCGGCCCCAGCCCCCACCCCCAGCGCCAAGCTGTTCCTCAGGCTCAGGCTGTCCCATTCGGGGTAAGGGGCTATGGAGGCCAAGGCCAAGGCCCTGGTCCTGGTTTTGTTGCGCGCCCGGCGGGAGCGAGACGATCTTTTCCGGCGGCGCAACTTTCCGCAGGAGCTTTGTGAGGCGCCACTCGCGCCCTGTTCGGCGAGGCCGAGCCAGCGCTCCGCCGCCTGCAAGTCCGGCCCCCAGCCCGGAACTTCATTCATTCCTCCAGCGGCCGGGCTCCCACAGGAGCCGGCTCTCTTTACCGCTCCGAAGGGGACAGCCTGGGATCTGAGCCCGAAGGGCTGGGACAGGGTCGGAGGCAGCTGTGAGGAAAAGGGAGGGAAGCCCAAGAGGCGCGAGACACCCAAGCTCGAGCTCGAGGAGCCGTGGCTGCCGGTTGCCGGGAGCACGCGCACTGACTCAAACGTGCGCGGCACCACCAGCTGCCCGGCTTCCAAGCGCCCACGGCCCTCCCCCCACCCTCCTTGCCTCCCCCCAGCCGGGCCCGCAAGCTCCCAGGGTCGAGCGCACGACACCCACCCTCCCCTCTGCCACCCCTCCCCCCAACTCCCTTCCCCGTCTGCTCCCGGCGGCTCGCCGTCCTGCCCTTCCTTCCTTCCTGCCCTTCCTTCCTTCCTGCCTGCCTGCCTCCCAGCCCGGCCTAGCGCAGTTTCCCCCCTCCTGCGCAGCCCGCAGGCCAGCCCTTGCGGCGAGGGCCGCTCACCGAACACGGAGCGCAGTGATCGATCTACCGCAGGGTCCCGGACTGCCAGACCCGCCATCGTCCTCAGTGCCCGCTTCCGGTGCGAGCCCAAGTGTCTCTTGCGCCTACCCACACTTCCGCAATGCGCGTGGGGCGGCCCCCTTCATAGGGGCGGCCCCCGGTTCCTCGCGGGCGTACTGCCGTGAACAGCAGCAGTAGCAGCGGCCGCAGTAGCAGCGGCCACAGCAGCCACCAGCCCTCCCTCCTGTCCGCAGCAGCCCGGGGAGGGCGGGAGAGACCCCCACCGCGCTTGAAGCCGACCGTAGTATTCCCAGCAAAGAGGCCCTGCCGGTTTCCAGGCGCCCTACGCGCTGCGACTGGGCCCGCGCTCGCGGCCAGTACCCCAGAGCACCCCGCGTTGTCTCCCGGCCCCGCCTTCCTCCCGCCCTCCCTTCATCGAGCCTGCCCCGCTGTCTCTCCTAGTCTAGCTCCCCGGCCCCACTCTGCACCGCCCCCGGCCCGCCCCAGACCGAGGGCGGTGCCGCACTGAACATGGCGTCTGCAGCGTCAGCGGCACCACCCGGCCCCTGGGGCCGCTTCGCTTCGATTCCTCCCGGGAGCGGGAAACGCGCGGCCCCGCCCCCGGCCCCGCCCCGGCGCCCGCCCTCGCCCCGGCTGACGCCGAGTGCATGGAGCGGGATGCAGCTGCCGCGAAGAGCGCCGCCGAGGCCCTCGGCCCCCAGGGCCCGGGAGCTGGAGCGCCCGAGGGTACGCTTAGGAGAGTGCACAAAGTCCGAGGGGGCAGGGGAGGGGCTTATCCGGGAGCGAGGTGGGGTGGGGTGGCGTGGGGTGGCGTGGGGTGGGGGGCGCAAGCTCCATGTGCTCGGCGTGGCGGCGGCGGCGGCGGCGCGGGGCGGGCGCGGGGCGGCGCGGGGCGGGCCCCGAGGGCAGGGCGCGTCCTGGCTGGTCGGGGGAGCTGACGAGCTCGCTCCTCTGCGCCCCCTTGGGGAGCACCTCTCGGGGTCCCGGGCGGGGCCCTCGGGCCACCCGGCCAGAAGGGGGCGCAGCCGGGCACGGGCACAGCCGGCGGAGTAGAGCGGCGGCCCGGGCGGAAGGGGGAGGCCTCGGAGCCGGGCACCTGGGCGAGCGCCTTTGTGTCCGTGCCAGCCGTGCCCCGAGGAGGCGCTCGAGCCGGAGGGCTGCCTGGCGGGCGGCCGAATGGATGAAAGGCTGCCCGAAGCAGCGGCTCTCGAGCAGGTCTGCTTGCCTCCCCTGTCTCTCGAGCAATCCAGGAAGCCGCAGCAGCCCAGGAGCTAGCTGGGCCTCCAAGTAGCCGGGCTCGGGGAGGCTTCAGGCACAAAACCAGGCAGGCATGCAGTCACAAGCATTTATGAAGCGCTCCCTATACGCCAGCCACGGTGCTGAACACTGAGGATACAGAGAGAGGCAAAATCCCAGTTCCTGACCTCAGGGAGCTCCCAGTCTATAGTATGCAAACAACTGGGTTACATAAAAGATGGATGGATGCAAGGTAAGCCTTCAGGGTCAGAGGTGAAGAGGGAGAGTCACCCCACCCCCAGGGCACTGGAAAGGGTGTGGCAGCATCTTGTGTGACAAACAGTGAGGAAGGAGCTAGATTGTAGAGGGCGGGAGAGGGAAGTAAGGTGTAAAAGACTGGAAAGGCAGGAAGGGTCAGGTTATAAAGGGCTTTAAGAGCCAAACAGGATTTTCTGTTTGATCTTGGAAATAATAGAGAGCCACTGCAGCTTATGAGGTGGGGTAACGTGGTCAGACCAGTGTTTTAGGCAGATCATTTTGGTTAAGTAGAAGACTGATTCTAGACGGAAGAGACTTGAGTCGGGAAGACCTAATAGGCATTACAATAGTCCAGGGGAGAGTGTGGGTGGCAGGAAGTCGGGTGATGGCTGTGAGCAAGGAGGAGGGGTCACTCATGAAGGGGTGAGGAAGGAAAAAGCAGCAGCAGATATGACAACAGATTGGATAGATGTGACCTATGAGAATGAGAAGCTGAGGATGCCACCTGCGTCGCTGGTGGTGCTTTGAAAGGAACAGGAAAGTTGGGAAAAGGGGAGACTTTGGAGGAAAGGTGAGTTGTCCTTTGGACATGCTGAGTTTGGGATCCGCACAGGATATCCAGTTCAGGATGCCCGGAATGCAGTTAGAGGTGCAGGAGCTGTGCAAGGGAGAGAGTGTGAGTATCTAGGTCTAGTCATTAGCAGCATAGTGCTCATAATTGAGCTATGGGAGCTGAGAAGATCCCCAAGAGACTTCAGCTACCACCTATTCCACCTGCTTCAGCAGGACTTCCCTGTACTCCCTGTCCCCTTAGTAGTCATCCAGTCCAGTGGATCCTCTGCTCCCCATTGCAGACCATTTTGCTTGTTGGGCAGCTTGTCCTCTCCATCAGATTTAAAGTGACTACTTTATACTTCTTTTGGCTCTGGCACCCTTAAAGACCTTAGCTGGAAAAGGCCAAGGTCCCCTACTGCATCCTGGGCCATCTCCAGTTGTCCTGATCTATATCTGGCCACTAGACCCAGATGACTCCAGAGGAGAGAAGGAGAGTCCTCCCCCATTTAAATCCAGCTCACTTGCATGTCACAGCATCACCTCCCAGATGTCCTGGTCCTCTTCAAGAACCCAGGAACAGTAAGAACAGCAACTCTGGCCCCTAGGGCCAAAGAAGACAAGTGTGTCTCACCCCTTTTCCAAGTGCTAGCCATCTTGTCACCTAGCATCTTTTCTCTTCCAAACTGAACTTTAGCACTTCCTTCAGCAGACCCTTAGAGAATATGGGCCAGAAGCCCTTTGTCACCCTCGTCGTTCTGAAGATAGTTATGTGACACTTGAGTCACATTTACAGTCCCCGTTGCCCAAAAGAACTGGGTGAACGCCATGTGCCCAGTAGGTCACAGAGCCACCCTTGAGCACTTAAATGCTTTGGAGAGCCACAGATTGTGGGTAAGAAAAGTTGGCTCTATATTACTGGTCTGAAAAGAAATTGTTACGTCCCAGATATTTTTATAAAAGGTAATCGGGGGTGTTTGGGGTTTAGAACCCTAATCTATGAGGCCCTGTTGTGACAAGTGACCACACTCTCCCACACAGTCAGTCAGTGTCTATATCAGAGGTAGAAGGTTATCCTTGATGGACCAAGGCTCTGAAACCCAGCGTGGCATTTCTTTTTTAAGAACTTTTTTTTAAAAATTATTCTGAACTTTAAAAACACCAAATAAAATGAGTCCAGGTGCAAAGTGGAAGAGAAAAAAAAGATTGTACATGGAACTGCGACTCTATTACATATAGCTTGCTTTTCCTTTTAACGTATATAATAAATTCAGCCTGTAGCTTTCAAAGCTGTCCGGCTCATTTGTTTCTTCTGTCATTCCTTCTGTGTATTTTTAAAAATGCCTCAATGACGTTTTCTTCCTTTTCCTTTTTTTTTTTTTTTTGACAACCCCTATTGCTAGCCCCTCTGTCTTTCCAAATTGGAAAAAAAAAAAAAGGAAAAGGAAAACAGCACCCCGGAACAAATATACATAGTCAAGCAAAACAGATTCCCACATTGGCCATCTGTGAACGTGTATGTCTGCTTCTGCCAATGTGGCATTTCCTAACAGTGAGACTGTGCTCGCAGCCCCTCATAGCCTCTGCCTACCTTGTCACACAGGTATGCTGGTGCCATGGTTCAGGGAGAGCCAGGCTAGTTACTTGGAATGGAAGCGTGCGCCAGTAGCTCATCTGGCTGCTTGCTGTCCCCCAGTGTGCATGGTGGATTAGTGGTTCTGCCTCTTCGGCAAGTTTCCCAAGGCCCTGGAGAAGCAAAGTACCGAGCTCCAGTCAAAGCCCTGGCTTTGTTTCGGAGTTTCCTTTGCAGTCCATATGCTGGGGGCCTTTTCCTCTACCTGTCCTGGGCGATCTTCTCCTGCTGTGGGGCTCCAGGCATGAAGGCTGAATACAGATATGGGGCATGGGACAGACCAGGTGCATCCCTGGCCTGGGAAGGTGGACACTTCTGGGCTTCCTCTCCAGCTGAGCCACTACGTTTTCTTTCCTCCAGGCTCTAGTACAATGGAGGCCGAAGGCGGAAAGTCTGAGGTTATTGTGGCTGTTGTGACAGAGCCTCAGTTTACACAGCATTGCAGGTATGAGAAGGTTATGAGGGCATCTCAGGGAGATTGTTGCTTGCAGAAATGGGGTAAAATGCATTTGGCACTTGGAGTAGAGGAGAGTCATGACTTAGTGAAGGACTGTAGGGTGATGGATCCCGGATTAGGGGGCACAGTGGTAGCACTGGTTTTGTGAAGTCCTCAGCCCTTATGCCCACAACCTGAGAAGCTGTTGTGACAGGATAGACGTGAGGCCAGCTGAGGCATCCAGGACTGTGGGGACATCGTGAAGACCCAGAGAAGGTCAAAGCTTCAAGGCTTGGGATTAATGCCACCTTGTGGCTTGCCCACCTTGAAGCTCCTTGGCCCTGGAGCCAAATCCCTTGTTGGTCCTGCAGGGAATATCTTGAGAAGCACCAGCTCCTGGATAGGCGTCACCGTGTGAAGCAGCTGCCTGATGGTACCATGGCGCTACCTGTTCTGGGAGAGACCCTCAGTGAGCAGCACCTACAGGCACTGAAGCAGCGAGGGGCCCCTGACGGCACCTGCAGGCTGGCACAGATCCTGGTCAGTATCTGGGTGAAGGCCCTCATTGGCAGGAACAGAATTTGGCACTGATGATCCCTGAGTTTGACACTGCCACCCTCAGACTGCTTCTCTGGGTCCTGAGGAGCTTTTCATTGAGGGTGTAGCCCTGAGGCTACCTTTTAAAGAGTGTGTTTACTATGTGGGCAACTGTTGTCCAGTCTACCAGACCCAGTTCTTCATTCTATCATGCAGGCTTTGTCATTTGAATTCCCCATGTATATGTCCCCTGTGTACGTCTCTTCTGTGTTCTTTTCCCAGAATCCTGTCCCCTCCAAGAAAGCTCAGAACTGTTCTCCTGCCCAGAAGCTACGTCAAGAACTGCAGTGTCTGGTGGAAGGCCAAGGGCACACATGGTCAGCTGAGCTAGAGAAAGATCTTCCCCGCTCCTGGCAACGGCACGGTGACCTCCTTCTCCTCAATGAAGATAGCTTCAGAGCTGCCCATTGGAAAAAACTGGGTAAGTGAAAGAAGTATCCCAGGCTTCCTTGTGGGTGTCTCTGAGGCAGCCTCATCCCCACATCCCCTTTGGGGGCTGTGCTTTGTTCCAGAACCAGGACTCTGGAAGACTGTTGCCTCTGCACTGGGAGGCCAGCGTTTGGCAAAGCGAGGGCGTGTGTCACCAGGTGGGACGCGAGCTCCCAAAGTAATCCTGCTGCTGGGTGCCCATGGCTGGGTGGAGCATGTGGATAATGGTATCAGGTAGGTTCAGGAAGGGATGGTGACCCAAGGGAAACTCCTTTGAGGGTATGGGCAGAAGGGAGCAGAAGGGCTGATGAGGGCATCACCTCAGGGCTCTGGAGCACCAGGCGCTATTTCTTGTTGGTGGCACTCGGGCTGAGCCATAGAGCTTGGGGCTGAGAGAACCTCTCATCCCTTCATGCACTCTTCTCTGAACTACCTAATGGAGTGCCCCCACTTCTTGGGGGGCACTCAGAAGTTTGAGGATGCTAGCCATGTTGTTCACTCGGCCCCTCGGTATATTGATTTCCCTAGGTACACGTTTGATGTGACCCAAAGCATGTTCTCCTTTGGAAACATCACTGAGAAGCTGCGGGTAGCATCAATGGCCTGTGCTGGAGAAGTGCTGGTGGATCTCTATGCAGGTGACAACCTTTGGGAGCAGTCTCTTGAGTTAGGGGCGCTGCTCTGGTCGGGAGCAATGCTGTCAGTGCTCGACCGTGAGAAGCTTTTTGGTAGGCTTGCTCTGTGCTGATGCCAAAGGGGCCTGGATAGAGGCCTAGCTTCAGACAGAGCTGGAAGGGACCTTGGAGGTCATCTGCAGAGGAGGACACTCAGGCAGGCTAAGCGAGTGTATAGAAGGCATTAAGTGGCAAAGCTGTGATTGGAATCCAGGTCCTCTGGTAATTTAGTCTCCTCTTTTGGAGTGTCCCCCGCCCCTTACTTGGACCATACTCCTTCATCACTTATATCTCCTTCCTTTCTTCCTTCTTTCTTTCTATCCATCCATCCATTCATTCATTCATTCATTCCTCTCTGTACCAGGTCCAACGTGGTTTCCCTCAGCAATTTTTACCAGAGTCCCTGCCTCAGACTGTCTCACCACTTTTCTTCTCTTCTTATATCATGGCCTGCCTATAAGCCTTCTCTCAAACCATACCTAATTCTGGAACCTTCTCTTCCCCTACCTGGGATCTCCAGCTGGATTACCAAGCTCTCTCACTTCCATTTAAATGACTCTTGCGATCCTGCCTTCTCCACGTGTCCTTCTGAGGGTGACTGGAGAAGGGGGAATGCCTTCCTCCCCCCACCCCTTCCCCCCACACTCTCTGCTTGGCTAGGAAGTGGCCTGACTTTCCACACCAGAAATGCACTTAACCCTTGGCATGGATATGATGTAAATACTTGAATTCTGTTTTATTTCTGTCTTCTCTATTTTTGTCTGCACCAGTGTTGTCTGTGTTAGATCCTAGGGCCCTAGAAGGCAGGAAACGTGTATCTGTCTAGTGCCTCTCCAGCACCACGGTCTAAGTGGTGCCAACTAGATGCTTTTTGACGTATGTTTGTATGATTCTGATTCGTTTTGGGACAGGAAGTTCCGAATATGGTTCTTAAGTAGCTTGAGGAAGAACATTCAGTTGTCTTGTTCTGAAATAGATCGAGGGAGTTGGTTTCTTCTGTCCTTTCTAACCCTATACTTTGGCTGTCAATCAACCAGCAAGTACTAAGTGCCTACTCTGTGCCAGGAGCTGGGCTATGATTGCAGGGAATCGCTGCGTAGCTTTGGCAGGCAGAGTAAGCTGTGTGCTGTGCTGTGAGCCAGATGTTGCCTTTCTGCATGTCAGTCCTTGGGCTTTCACCTGCCAGCAGCATCCGTGTGGCTGAATCTCTTCCCTTTGTAACCTTGTCCCTTGTTCCTGATGGCCTAGACGGTTTCTCTTCCCATGGGAGACTACTGTTCATGGGTCACAACGCACATAAGAGCGTGGAGCCCGCATTGGTCTGAGAAGGCTTAGCCACTCAAGGCCTTCATCCTTGTCTCCTCTCTCTCCAGGGATTGGTTACTTCACCTTGCCATTCCTGATTCATGCAAATGCTGCTTTCGTCCATGCCTGTGAGTGGGATCCTCATGCTGCGGCAGCCTTGAGAAAGAACCTGGAGCTCAATGGCGTTGTGGATCGGTGCTGTATCCACCTCGGTGACAACAGGAAGGTGAGTGAGCTGCCCTCTTCTCCAACAGCCAGTCCCAGGACTTGCCTAGGCCACCACTCTTCCTCAGAAAAACTCAGGCAGCTTTGGAGCTGGGAGATACCTTAGAGATCATTGAGTTGAACCCCTTCATTTTGTGGCTGGAGAAAATGAGGCCCTGAGTTGTTTGCTATGATCATCTCACCTCATGGGACTCATATTCTCTTGATATGCAAGGCCATCTCGAGAAGAAGAGCCATGCATGCTGGTTCTTGCAGTGGAGGAGAACCTCAAAGGCTCAACTAGCTCAGGAAGATAATGGAGTGGTTGCCATAAAGCCTCGGGTCCTTACAGTGTGGGGGCTTAAGTATGAAGTTAGTGGCCCTAAAAGGAACTGGGATGCATAGGGATAGGGAACCCCAAAGGAAAGAGGTCATTGTCTGCTCTGTGAACTTCTTGTCTGGAGTGGGGCTGCTGAGGATGTGTTTCAGAGCGTGCTTTTGTCAAAAAGAATTTGGAGGAGCCAGCTGAGCATCCAGTAGGTGCTTAGCATAGTGCCTGCTGCATAGTAGGTGCTTAATAAATGCTTGTTTCCTTCCTTCCTCCCTCCCCCTCCCTTCCTTCCTTCCTCCCTCCCTTCTTTCCTCTCTCCCTCTCTCTCTCCTTCCCTTTCTTCCTCCCTTTCTTCCTCCCTTCCTCCCTTTGGGCTTTTAATGTGATGACCCACGTGGAGGTCCTGCTGTTCCACTCACCACCCTCTCTCTCTCTCTCTCTCTCTCTCTCTCTCTCTCTCTCTCTCTCCCCCCCCCCCCCCCCACCTCTTTTAGCTGAAGTTATGGAGCATTGCTGACAGGGTGAACTTGGGGCTTATCCCCAGCTCTGAGGAGGGCTGGCCCACTGCCTGCCGGGTGCTGCGCCAGGACACAGGGGGCATCTTGCATATCCACCACAATGTGGAGTCCTTCCCAGGGAAGGAGCTTCAGCTCCCCAGCAGCAGTGAGGCAGGACAGAGAGAGCAGAGAGCTGCCAGAAATCCAGGAAGGCAGACACCGGCAAAGATCGCCAAACTAGAATGGCAAAGGTGGGCTGAGGCTGTGGCTGCCCGCATCGGAGCCTTGCTGCTGCAGCTGCACGGGAAACCATGGGAGACCCAAATCCTGCATGTTCAGCTGGTGAAATCTTATGCTCCTCATGTGGATCACGTGGTCTTGGATCTGGACTGTCGGCCCCTCTCCTGCCCGGGTGAGGGTGTTGGTAAAGCTGAGAGGAGCTGTGGCCAGGGGCCCAAGGTCTGAGGCCTGGGGTCCAGATGGCTGGGAGTTCTGAAGTCAGCAGCTTCCTTCCACTTCTCGCTCTCTTGGCCCTTAGAAATGAATCTTTTACACTTTTATAAGGAATTTTTAGGGTGACTGGTTATTAGAATATCTCTTCCAAGGGCTTGGTGTAAATCTGAGACTGAGCACTGTAGTTGCTAAAGTCTTGTCTTCCTCTCTTCTCTTCCACTAATTATGATGAATTGTCTTATTTATAAACCTAGCAAAGGCAGAATAGCTTGTTGAACTGAGTGCGATCTGCAGAGCCCTGGGTTCTGCAGTTTGGCCTTAGCTCTGTCTGTGTGGCCGTAGACAAGCTGCTGCTCTCTTGGACTGTTGGCTTTGAGTCTCCTCATCTCAGAGATGGGGACCTCTCTGAACTACCTCATGTAGCTTTTGTCTATGGAGTGTGGGTTTTTAATGAGTTTCTTAGAATTGGAGATGCAGTGCTGGCAGCCTTTTGGAGAGCTTTGGGGACAAAGCCCTTGGCATTGCTTCTGGTTGCTGGCATATGGTGGGCTGGGAGGTGGGGTCGGTTTGGTGAATATGAGCCAGAGCACTCTTTGCCAGAGTGGACCAAAGCGATGCCAGGTCTTGAGCGACCTTGTCAATGCTTGTCCTTGGCCCTCAGTCCTGATGTCTCGTAACTTTGACCTTCTGAATAGCTTCTTATTTTGGCTGACCGGGGTGTAAGAGTGCTGCTAGAAACTTGCTAATTGTGCTTGGTTTCTCAAGAGTGAATGTTGGGTTTTCAGGACAGGTTTGTGTTCTTAGGGCTTTTCGGCTGGACTCCCTGCTTTTAAGGGCCCAGGTTTGCTGTGTTCTCCCCTTGTGATGCCCAAAGTGCTTTCCAGCCAGCGTGGGCCAGCTGGATTTTTGAAGCAATGCACTATGATCTCCCTTCTTCTCTGCTCAAGTCTCGGTATCAGGACCTGCACCAAGAAAAGGGCTAGAAACAGAGTCAAGGTGCAGGGGTGGCGAGAAGTTAGGGAGTCCCCAGAGTTGTACTTGCTCACTCATGGAGGCTCATGGAATTTCTAAGTCAGGGAATTGAAGCTCCATTTTGTTCAAGGTGCCATTCCTACCCCTCTTAGTGATCTCTTACCCACCATTCCTGCAGTCCCTGCCAAGAGAGAAGAGGGGAGCAGTTTGGGAACGTTGAGCAGCTAGCTGCCCATCGTACCAATTGCTCCCTCTCTCTAAGAGGACCTTGTACTCTCCCACCTGCTTAGGCTGTTGTTGGCTCTAGGCAGAGATCCTTGTTCATGATCTCAAATGATCGTGGCAGGCCATGGGCAAAAGAAGGTTTTTTTGTTATCGAAACACTCTACACAGCCTCCTTTTGAGGAACAGACCATGCCCCTGGTTACTTTTTTGTAAATGTCCCACAAGAGGCTCCAGCTCTTTCACCTTTTCTCTTCATCCAGGCGCTTTGAAGGCCTCTGCTGGATGGGTTTAAAGAGAACAAAGCGTCAGTGGCAAAGCCCTTTGTCTTTGTATCGTAGCACTTTGTGCACATAGTAGGTGCTTAATAAATGCTTAATGACTGAATGAATTGGATGTCCAGAGAGATTTGAATGCCCTGGCCACAGTAAGGGCTCAGGCCCAGGGCAGGAAGAACTGAGGTGGTGCTTATTCAACATCCTGGCTTACATTAGAGAAGTAGTCATATTGATTAAGGCAGTGTTTGGGGAAAAATCGCCTCGAGCTTTTCTTCTGGGGACCTGGGACAGTCCAGTTGGCAGTGGCAGGCTTTCTTTCTGTCTTGATTGAAAGTAAACATTTTCATGAGACCTGAAGCATAGAAAGATAGGAAATAAATAGGGTCTGATGTACGTTCAGCCCCTGTAACCGCAAGTGCCTCAATTAATGTGTTGGTTTTAAAAAAAAAAAGAAAGAAAGAAAAAGTATGATTGAGAGTCAGTCCAGGAAATGTTTTTTGGATTCTTGTTTCTGTTAATACAAAACCAGATATGGTGGATGTGAAGAAACTTGGTTTTTGTTGTGGAAAAAGGGTCACTGTGGACCCTGGAGGCACACAGGCCCCTGCATCAGAAGGCTCAGGCTCCAGCTCCGGGCCATTCTGTCCCCCAAAAGACATATACCTCAGCCAACTGAAACTGGTATTGTAGGGAATGGGTTCGGTCAAAGGAAGGAGCAGGAGACTGGGGGCCACCTACCTAATGGAGCACGATGGAAAAGCTTTTATTAGACACTTGCTATGTAGTAGGCATTGTGCTATAAGCTCTGGGGATGTAAACACAAGCAAGCAAGATGGTAATGGAGACACCGAGCTTGTAACATAGGAATCCAAGCATGTGTGACCCTAGAAGCCACCTAGGAACTTGCTTTTCATCACCTGCTAAGCCAGTAACCCTGCCTCCTGCTCAGCCCTGCTGAACCCAAGCAGTCGTGAGGACCTGGGTTCAAATCCTATCTTTGATACTTCCTAGCTGTGTGACCCTGGGCAAGTTACTTCATCTCTCCGCCTCACTTTCCTCATCTGTAAAACAGGGATAATGCTTGTAGTATTACAAGCATTACAAGGGTCTGTAGTATGGGTTGTCAAAAGGCCCAATTAAGATAATGTCTGTAAAGTCCTTTGCAAACTTTAGAGCACTAGCAAAATGTCCATCGTTATTCTTTCATGAAAATTCCAAGGGAGCAGTGCTTATCGTTGCATTTTCTTTCCAGTGATGAAGGGGTGGAGAAGGCTTGACCTTCCTCAGAATCCCCATGAACCAAGACTAGCGCATCAGTTCTACAAAAACATATTAGTCTTAAAGACAAAATCGCATCTTGGCCCCAAACAAGCTTCTTTGGAGAAAAAGATGCCAACCTTTAGCGGTTTTCATCCAAGGTGGACTATTTCTCAGAGACCTTTTAAAGCTGGATTAAAGCAGCAACAGCTACTGGAGCCGACAGGTGGTGTTGGCACCTAGCTGGGGCACGCCGAAAAGGAGGAGTGAGAACAGAAACATGGGACGTGAGAGCCAGGATGTCCAGGTCACAGTGCCGAGTAACAAACAGGCCCAGAACACAGCCAGAGTTAGAAGTCTGGCTCCCAAGCCATTCAGTGGGGTTTGGTAACCAGAGGGCTCACCGTAAGTGTTGGCCAGGCTCACAGGGGTCACTTGGGGTCTTGTACTTAGCTTTGCTTTCCACACCGTCGGACCGTCCATTGGGCCTACCATACTCTTACGACTAGAACAGTTGAAGTTTGACCCCATTGTCTCAGAGCCTGGGTCTGGTCAGCCCACCTGCTCCCATGGTCTACAGGTGGGCTGGTAGGATAGTGTCTTGTCCCAGGACCATTTCTATCTGAACCCCATCAGAAATGAGAAAGATGAAGCAATAATAACACTTCCTTTTTAGGTTTGTGATGTACTTGACAGACATCTCATTGAACCTTATGACACCCTTGGAAGGAAGAGGCCCTTGTGAGCCTTATTTTACCATTTGGGAAATACACATTCAGAGAGGTGGCTTGCCCAGGGTCACACAGCTAGTAAGTGCCTGAGGCAGGATTTGAACCCAGGTCTTTCAGATTTTAGGTGTAGTGTTCTAGTCACGGCATGCTGACTTTCTGTAACATAGGGACTCCCAGTTTTTAGCTTCAACTTGAGCCAAAGACTTGCTTAGAAGCTTGGATTTCTAACAGTCCTTTATTGTCCCTTATCCCTTTTTCTGACTGATATCACAGAGCTAGACAAAGGTCCTTTGGGAACATTATGGGGCATCAAGAATAGGGGGTTTACTGGAGAGAAAGTTTGCTCTGACTTGGCTTTTTAATTAGCATCTGTTTCTGCTCTGCCTCGAGCTAATTGGGGTGGATTCCTAGCCTCTCTTCTTTGGCTCGTTGCTGTTTGTAGCTGACTGGGCTTCTCCATTGAAGGAGGAAAGCTTGTAGGCCATGCCCTCAGCAAGGGCATACCCACTGTCTCTGTTGTGACCAAGAGGGTCGGACATTTGTCGTGTCCTTACTATATATGCTGCATTGTAGGAGATACATTGTAGAGCGTTAGCCCTCCAATCTAGAAGCCCCAAATCTGCTAGGGGAGCTGGGCCATCTACAGTGCCTGGCAGTGTAGTTACTACTGCCATATAGCTTCTGTGTAAATGGTATGGGAATTCCAAGGGAGAGCTCCCTCCTGGCAGAGTTCACGTCAGTGAAGGTTTTCGGGAGGAGGCAGCATTTGAGGAGAAAGAAGGACATTGGAGATGGGCTTGTGTAGTGGGGCGGTGGGGCGTGGGGGTAGGGGGGAGTGGGGCTAGAGCTAGAAAGATAGGAGGGGCGTGATTGGAGGTAGTCTCCAAGCCAGGCTAGATAATACCAAGTGTTTTGGTCCCATAGTCAGTGAGACTCATTTAAGGGGCCTGAGCAGGGATGATAAAACGAAGGCCCAGCATTCCTAGTTTGTGTGTCCTGGGGCTGCCCTGGAGCCTGCGAGCTATAATCCAGCTGGGGGGGGGGGGGGGCAGGGGCCTGTCTGTGGCTGTGTAGTGCCTATGCCCCTATTAGCAGCTTAAGTCTTCCCTACCCAGGTTAAGGACCTTCCCAATTGCATTTCTAATAGTGTTTGCTCTCTCCTAGCACTGTGGCCTCAGGACACCCCACATTATCACACTTTTGCTGTTCTTTGGCTGGAAACTAGACTAAGCAGAATCTTGTCTCCAATGGGAGCTTATTCCTAGTATACTTTGCACATTTCCTTGCTGTGATAAATACTGCTTTCCCAAGCCAGCCCTCACCTTGGCTCTAGCTCCCCTTCTAGCCAAGAAGGCAGTGTCTCTATGTGATTTACAAGTGGCCCAGGTGTGGGTCGCTGGTTGGCCCATCTGTGCACTCCTTAGGAATGCTCTCAGAGTGCACCCCCTGTCCTGTTCCCTCTTAGATTGCCTTCAGACCTTTGCCTCCTGCCTGCCCTGCCTCACTAGGATGCCCCTAATGTTTGGGTAGTTTATTTTTATAGGAAAAACTTAACTGATAGGAAATTAAGCATATTGGCTCGTAATCACGGTTGTCCTCACTTTGGGTATCTTCCTCTCCTTCAAATAGTTTAAGAACCTGTCCCTTGAGGGGCAGCTAGGTGGTGCAGTGAATAGAGCACCAGCCCTGGATTCAGGAGGACCTGAGTTCAAATCCGGCCTCAGACATATAACACTTACTAGCTGTGTGATCCTGGGCAAGTCACTTAACCCCACTGCCTAGAAAAAAAAAAAAAAAGAATCTATCCCTTGATGTCTTCCCAGTTGTATTGCCTTCTCCAGGTCTACTCTTTCTTTGGTGTCATTTCCACTCCTCTCCCCCCAACCCCCAACCCCCACCCCCAACTGTGATGAATGAAATCCAGATGTGGTTCTACTGCCCTTGATGGGGAAAAGAGTTTATTGGAAAATCTCTGTAAATATGTGTGTATCTTTCATCTGCTTGTTGCTGTCTTCCTGTTTGCATCCTGAAATTTCCTCCAAGAAAGTCAACAAGCATTAGCTTACCTGGGTCTCAGAGGACTTTGCTTAGTTGGATCTCTTGCCAAGTTTTCTTTATACTTTTTTCCTTCTGGTGTTTCTTGCTGCCCAGTGAGGCAATATTCTTCATAATCTTCTGTAGGATTTTATAAATGACTTTCTATCCTCACCTTCTGTTGTCCCAGGGTGCCATATTTCCCCTCTTGGGAATTAGGTCAAGTGTCTGTGGACTAAAGCAGCTTCCCAGCTTGTATTTGTTCTGGCCATTGATTTATATGAATTATACTTCTGTGTAAAGTTCTGTTTGCCGGCAATGTCCTTTCCTCCATCCATTTCCCATTTTTTGGCATCAGCAACTTGGTTAAATAGTTCAGGTTAGAGCTGTTTTTATTGTATGGCATATCTTTTTCTCACCTTCTACCTTTCTACTAATTTTGATCTTGGCTCTCACAAATCTGTGGTCCAACTGTGCACAGACAATTGATTCAAGGATGACTAACGTTGCCTATCCTGTTATCATCTGATCGCTTTCATTTTATGTTATGTTATTCACTGCACCCTGCCCCTGAAACATATTGGTGGTGTGACCCTGGACAAGTCACTCAAACTCCTCAGTTCTCTAGACTGCTAGTGTCAAACTCAAATAGAAAGGGAGTCCTTTAGGCTGCATATTGACTTAGAAAACCACAAATTAACATTATTTATGTTGTATTATATTTTTTAAAAACCATTTCTCTGTGACATTTTAATCTGGTTTAGGCCCCATGTGGGAGGATGCTTGTGACCCGTAAATTGGACGCCTGTGCGCTCTCTAGGCGACTCTCTCAGACTCTGAGTTGCAGAGAAAGTGCTATCCTGTATCGGTACAGGGAGTTTCCTTACCTGGGGGTTCCCTACAACAGTGAAAGCCCAGGCTAGTCCTTCTCCCCATTCAGTGAATGCCATGTTCAGCTCCTTTTGAGACTACTTTTCTCAAAGTATTTCTGCTGTCTGTCTGAGTGGGCTGCTTCTGTGTAGTTCCTCAGCCTTTGGCCTTTTGAATGCCTCGTTCCTGAATCATATTTTTCATGTTGCGTGTGCCCCTTCCCCCACATTTTCTGCAGCCCTCGTCCATTCTATAGGCTTCTGCACCTTGTGAAAACACCCCTGGTACATGTGGCAGTGGTAACCCTGTATGTGCATGCTCCACTTTCTCCTATTTTTGGACAGCATCATACCCAAAATATTTTCATAGGAATACAGCTTTAGTTTGATAATAGGAATTGGTGGAGAAATAGGATTTGGTATGTAGAAGGTCACTTGACAGCCAGTGTCAGCTTTGCACATGGGTGCCCGCAGCACACTAGCCATCTGTTGAGCCTTGTCTTGACTCGCAAATACTATGTAGCGGGATTTGGATGAAAAAGAGACTTGGGAGGGCAGTGAGGCCAGCTCTGCATCTGCTCTCATCTTCCTCCTTTGCCTTATCTTATCTCCATGCTTCTGAAGAATAGCAATGTTGGAAGTGGAGAACGGTCCACTAGGTGTTTCCAGTGCACTTTCTGGACTGTCCTGGATGGATGGGAGCTAGAGCACCAGGGAAATGAGAAATGGTTCACTTCTCAGGATGGTGCCAGCTTAGACTCCGCATGGGCCGCAAAGTGTCATAATCATCCTCATCTCCTTATGGAGTGTAGACAGGTACATGTGGCCATAAGGACCATACATTTGGAAAAGGGAGTGAGTCAGCTCAGGGGCAAAGGGAGGGGGCAGGTAATTTTTTGTGACCCTCCTCCTAAGCCTGGCGGAATCCTGCTTGCTCACCTTAAGTCCTCTAGCTCCCAGGGAGGGGCTGTCTTCCCTGGTTTTCATGCATGCTCAGGAAGTTCCAAGCCTTAAGCCTGGGAAGATAAAGCCCCACTGGCTAAGCCCACCACCTTACCCAGAACTCCTTGGAAATAAACCCCAAAGGCCCTACTGGGCCCCAGGGCCTTGGCTTCCCAAACAGCCCTTCAGCACCACAGTGCTACAGGTGTGTTCTCTGATTGTATCACCCATAACAACGGTCATCTCCTGAGCTAGATCTCACTTCCCAGATGCCAAGGTTGCTCTGTCTTCCCTCAGAATCTGAAGAGCCAGACATGCCTGCTGTTTGACTTCTCTCTCTGTCCCTTCGAAAAAAACAGGCTCATTGTTTCTGCTGAGAACATCCTGTCCTTGTCCCCGTCCTCGTCTCTGCAGCCCTACTGCCCAGTGTTTTGCTAACCTGAAATAATTGGCCTTTCTGGCATCTGAGAGAGAGATTAGATTGGGAGAAAGCAGATCCTGCTGGACTAGAGCTGAGCCATTACAGACGGAGCAGAAGCTCTTCTGGTTCAGCTGCTCCAGCTCCAAGGCAGCTTCATCAAGATCTCCAGCTGCCCATTGAGTTGGGCCATTGCACGTGGCCCCACTGCTGCCCACCTGCTTTCTCTCAGCTGCGTTGGGGCAGTTAGCAGGGGGGAAGCAGGAGACGAGAGATCACCCTTCTGGAGGTGTCTTAATTTCTCTCTCTTTATTCTCTTGAATCTCGGAGAGACTGCGTACCGTAGAATAATGGCTACCAGCCTTTTCCAGAGAGCATCTCTTTTGTATGTAGGACAATTTTGTGGATCCCCTCCAAAAAATAGGTAATGACAAACAAATGGATTTAGTAATGCCCTCAAATGGATTTTGTATTTTATTCATCACAGTGGCACCTAACAACCTTTGAAAAATAGTAATATTTTTGTGCACGATGTTATTTATTCATTCTGTAGGAAGAATGCTTGTTTATTATATTGGACCATGTAGTGAGATGAACACCTTTGCAATAACTGGCCTTCCATGGACTGTGGTTTAATATTAGGAAAGTCTGAAGCTTGGGAACCGCTAGTGTCTGGGGAGAGCCAGGAGCCCCAGGTACAAATACTGCCTTGGAGCAGCGAGCCAGATGCCCACTCAGAGGCTTGTTTTCCTTATCTGTGACATGGGACCAGAATCATTACCTAATTCACAGCCTGTTGTGGTGAGCAGATGGGAACATACCTGTAGAGATCTTTAGAAACCTTCAAGTGCCAAGAGAAATGCAGTTAGTGGGATGATGCTGTGTGTGCTCTCTACCTCGTGGGGCGTGGGGAGGGTGGCGCTTGGTAGAAGTGTGACTTGTCATTATTAACTGTGTGCTTTACCTTGAAAATACCCACTTTCTTTGTGGAGACTTGGAGACCACGAAGGAAAGCAGTACCTGAAGAATTCCTCATAAGCCGTACCTCCTGAGATCCAGATCTCAGGGGAGGGAGGGAATGGCGGACTTCCTCATTTCCCCCTAGGGCTCAGAGCATGCCTCACTTTGTAATTCACTCCCCAGAAAAGCTCTTGAAGACTGACTCTGATTTTGATCAGAGAGAGTGTGTGTGTGTGTGTGTGTGTGTGTGTGTGTGTGTGTGTGTGTGTGTATGTGCGTGCACGTGTGTGTATGCGTATGCGCACATGCATGCATCCACTCGTGTATGTGTGTGTACACAGTGATCCAATCCCCTTCTTCCTTTTTTAAGTGTCTACTTTGCCCTATTGCTGGTCATGGCCCTGACATGGGCTTCCCCTTTAAAAATCTCACCTCGCTCTTGCCTCTCCCTGGAGGAGTGGTGGACTAGGGTGTGCTGGGTTGGTTTGTCACAGCAGAGGGTTCGAGGGCTTGGGGTGGGGGGTGGGGGGGGGAGGGGGGGGGATGGGGTAGTTATTGGGAAACAATAACAATATG